GAGGTCGAAACTGCAGTCCACTCCAGCCGGGATAAGAACAACTTTTGGGAAAGCAAGGCTATGTGAAATTAAATGGAAACGTCAGCTCTACTCATGTCATTGTGGGAAAATTCTACTACCAGTCCTTTAGCACCTTAAACGAAATTGGATGATTACATCTCATATTAAAAATTATATGCCATTGTGAAGCCTACTCCTATCAATGCAAGGCAACTATCGGTCCTTATTAGCTAAATTATTCGTAAGTATTCGACGCCAAGTAGCTTATTTTGTGTAAAATCAGCCTCACAGCTTATATTCAATTAGGGTTGACTCTAGTCTGCATGATCAAACATGATCTTTTTTTATTTACTGATGAAGAAAATGCGAATAATAAATATAGTTTGATTAATCCCTTACTACCTGTTGCCTTTATTCTCTTTTGGTGCACATTTCTTTATTCCGTCATAATTTTGATACAATACCAAAACTATATATCAAAACTATTATATATATTATATATATATATATATGCATGTATGTAAAATTTTAAGGACCATTTCTGAATACCTTCACCTAACAACTTCAATAAACTTACAATTGAATTCGATTCGGAGGATTTTAAGTTGCTTAGCTATGAAGAACAAGATAGTGCCGTCTTAGGTTTTGGTCATAGTCTCCTTAAGCTGTATAGTATTAGTTGAACCTAGTTTTCGCAAATTGTTCGGAACTATGGGGAGACTTTCTGGAACGTACGTAGTTCTGAGTCCTCCGCCATAGTATTGATAATAATTTACGGCAGTGGATTGTTGACTTGGTAAATTCTCAATGTATGGCGAAACGTCTGATAACGTACCATGTCAAAGATACAATGCTGCAAATTTGCATGAATACTATGCCAGATGATGCTGTGCTATGTACGTTCCACAAAGTCTCCCTTTCGATCAGACTAAGTTGCGGAGACAAAGTTGAATCAACACAATTTTAGCTGTCATTAAGTCAACGACATATGCATCCGAATTATATCGTGAGGTATATAAATGCATACTGTCCTGTCTTTGTAAAGGGACAAGGCATGTAACCTTGGAGATTTGGATAACTAAAAGGCATCTCACCTCCTTTGGCATAATAGGTAGGCCGCATTTTGCACAGCGAGGCGCGTACATGAGGTGGTAATCGGAGACGCAGAATATATGATTATACTTGTCAATAGTGAAAGGAATGCCGTCTAAGCACTCGTTGCAAATGCAGCATCGGAAACAGCCAGGATGATAGGATTTACCCAGTGCCTTCAAGATCTGACGAATAGAAATAAAAGAGATAATAGGTGGAATTT